TTTTTTTTTTTTTTTTTTTTTTTATTTTTCTTTTCATTCGATTTTTCAATTTTTTTTTGTGGTGTTGATTTCCATTCAGTTTTTTTTAACGATGGCATTAGACAAGCGCAGAAAGCAGAGATGCGATGCTATAGAGGGAGGCTATTGAGAAAGCCGTTTCATTTTGTTATATGCTGGGAAGATGGATTGCTCAAATGGATCCCCATGTCAATCCGATCCAATTGCGCGTTTGTGTATTAATAACTATGATTTGGCTGGAAGCAGATAGTCGTCGACTCTGGCTGTCGATAGCAGGATTTCTTCAGCCAGGCAGCATTGATGTTAGCATTTCTAGCGTGTGCATATATAGCGTAGTACATATATGTGACATAACTAATGGCAAAGCGAGCTGTCAAAGAAGCGGGGTTACAAACGTACATCCAGATTGTCGATAGATGCATATGATCTGAATTGCTCGGGCAAGAGATCTTTCCAGTCGCTGGAGAAGGTATCCACGTTCAGGACAGCCTTGGGGGTCCCGTTAGACGACTCGAGGAGGAGCTCTGCCGTCCATTGGGCTGTTATATGCTGATCGAGATTTGCCCCTATAGCCACAAAGTTAGTTATCAGACTTCAAATCAGGGGGGGGCGGAGGGGGGAAAAGTAAATAAACAAAATCGTATATTAAATAATTAGCCGGGAGGGCGTTGTGTGTCGTGTCGTGTCGTACGTACACTTCAGGTCCCCATCAATGGGCGAATTATCCACCAGCCTACGCACAATGGCGTCGAACAGCGAGCGAGGAAACGGATACTCGTCGATAACGGTGTGTTCGGCCTCTTCTATGACGGCACTCCACAGGTCCTCGACCAGGAACTGTTTGCCGAGATCGATGCCATGGAGGGTTGCGCCCTCGATGATCTTCTCCCAGGCCATGAGCTTTGCCCTGGCCGAGGGACGATGACACCCGATCGCACCGGACTCTTTGTTCTTGTGGACGAATGCGCAGATGTGTTTCCAGGCGCGCTCGCACTCGGCGCGGGAGAAGGGTATGTCTGCGAAGACCTTGGAGCGCTCATGGACGATCTCCGAGGGGGAGAGGGGGTGGTCGTCCTCCTCGGTGCGCTCGTCCATGAGGATGTCGCTTTCGTCGTAGACGGCGAGGGCGGCCAGCAGGGGCCGGAGGGCTGTCTCGGAGGAGGCCATGGCCTGGACTTCGAGCGTCGACTTGCACTGTGCTACGGCCGTGATGCCTGGCGTCGTCGTCGTTGTCGTCGGAACTGTGGCAGCTGTGCCTGGCCCTTGTACCTGGGGCCTGATCAGGAAGACGGAATTGGAGGAGTTGACCTGGCGTAGCGAGAAGGTCTTTGCCGGCGTGCACAGGTTCACGAAGTCAGCTCCTGGCCGAGAGGACGCAGTCGTAGCCGTGGCCGTAGTCGTAGTAGTAGAAGTAGAAGACGCCGTAGTCGTAGAAGAAGAGGTTGTAGTCGTGGTGGTGGTGGTGGAGGCTGTCGATGTGGGCGCAGATGACTTCAGGCACAGCCTAGGAGGGTCAGCGTCAGCACCAGCAGCAGCCAAAGAAGAGACGGCATAGACGAGCCCAACGAGACGGACGAGCCGGAGCAGGATACGCACTGTGGAGGGTGGTCTGATTCGAGCAGGTCTAGCAGTTCGGGCGGCAGCTCGAGCAGGCGGACGGGCTGTAGGGGCTGCGTCTGCGTCAGGCGAAGGTCCATTACTCTGCGGCGGGCAGCAGGCAGCTCGCGACGGGGGCCCAGCGAGAGCGCAAAGACAGCTCCAGACCGCGGCGAGGGACGCTTGAGGTTCGATATGTTTGTTGTATTATTATTATCGTTGCTGGCGTCCTGGCGTCCTGGGGGGGGGGGGGGGGGCAGATCTGTGGCAGAGAGGCCGCGGATCCGGTGGCGCTGAGGAGCTCCGTTTTGGCGTCTGGCGGGGTCTTTTCTTCGTACGCTGCAAGGTCCAGAGTTAAGTATTATTCAGAGAAGACTAAGCATCTTATTATTAACGGGCGAGTAGTGGTGAGCTGATGGAGCTGGTGAGCTGATGAGCTGATGAGCTGGTGAAGCTGAATTGGTGGAGATTTGGTAGAAGTTGATATTTTGGTGGATTTTTGACGCTGAAAAAGACCTACAACGAGGATGACGGACAATAAAGTAGATATACATCAGAGAAAGAAAGGGAAAAAAGGAATCGACAAATTGATATAGAGCTTCGTCGGCTAGAGAGACAAGGAACAACACCAGGAACGCAGGAGGAAAGCGGGAGACCGTCTAGTAAGAGGCGTGAAGAAGAGGGCTCGACTCGCAGCGGTAGCATCACACTGCAGCATTTGATATATGTAATATAAGAAAGAGATGAAGAGAAAAAAAAGAAAGAAAATAAACCCAGAAGTACGTCTTTTTGGCGGAAAAGGGCTGCTTGGTGGTAGATGTTAGTCTGTGGCTGTTCAGGTAAAGGGTCAGGGTCAGGGGTAGGTCGAGAATAGGGGGTATGTCTATATCAACTTACAAGTCTATCATCAAGGTCTAGGAAGCATGAAAGAATAAGACGGGCTTCAGGGAGGATCATTCGGCCTTCTGCTCGCCTCTCGACGCTTCTCTGGCCTTGTCTCTGGGCTTCTGCTTCTGCTTGTCTGATGTCTTTTGGCCGTTGGACCGTTGAGCCTGGGTCTTGTCGTCCGGTTTGCCAGCTTCTTCTTTAGCCTCGTCCTTGACATCTTTCACGTCTTTCCTGACTTCATTCTTGACTTCATTATTGACCTCTTTCTTGCTGTCCGTCTTGTCCGTCTTGTCAGAGCCGTCGTTTGACTGCTTCGAGGCCTTGTCTTTCTCCTGCTGCTGCTGCTTCTTCTTCTCTTTCTCCTTCAGTTGCTGCTGGGTCTTGTCCTTTTGCATGATGTCGTGTACGGCGGCACTGTCCTTCTCAGACTCAACGCTGGAGTCCTTGAACTGCTCCTTGATCTTCTTCGCCTTTTCCTTCTTCTCCTTCTCTTCCGCCTCTCGCTGCTTGCGTTCTCGCTCCATCTCCTTCATGTGGCGCAGGTCGTCGACGCTGGGCTCGTACAGATGCCAGATCGTGTAGTGCGGCAGGCCGACGACGGAGAATTTCATGCGTTTCGACATCTAACCTCCAGTTAGTATGTGTATATATATATATAATTGATAAACCTGTAGAACATGCATACCTTTCCAAAGGCCTCTGTTTCGGCGTGCTTCTCAAAGGAAAAAGCAGGGAAATGGACTCCCGCCCGGAAGACCTTTGCCTTGGCCAGGATACTGACACCGCCGACTCCGTCGATCTCCATCTCCATGTCCGGGTCGCCAAAGGGGTCTCGCAGGTAGGCCAGATGGGGTCTCCAGGTAGCGTACTCGGCGTATCCCTCGACAATGACGGCGTCTTCATCCAATGTATCAGCTAGAGCCAGGGCGGTCTCGGACTCCTGCCACGAGTTCAGATCGTACGGCTGCTCTCCACCCAGCCAGTCTGGCAGCGGTCTCCAAACATCTACACCTAGTTAGTAAACTGCATTTCCCACTTTTCTTCAGAAAAAAGTAAACGTACTAGGGACGATGACGTCCTTGTTATGCCGCATGAGGTCCTCGAGGATGGTAAACGGTGCGGTTTCAACGTCAGCGTCTCGCCAGTAGACCCAGCTATGCGTCGGGCGCAGCGTGGCACTCAGCAGCCAATTCCTCGCCTGGGCCATGAGCTTCCGTCTCGAGGCCTGGGCCGCAAAGCCGTGTCTGCTCTCGACGTCCTGGTTGACCTTCTGGCCAAAGTCCTTCTCGATGACCGAGATCTCGCCGTACGGCTGCCGCGGGTCCGGGTCGTTCTGCAGCTCCTCCAGCAGCTTCGTCAGCAGGCCCGAGGTGTCGTCCTTCGAGTCCGAGACCAGGAAGGCCAGGTCGATGAGGTGGTGAGGGTAGGTGAAGTTGCGCAGATGCGAGAAGAACATGGGCAGGTGAGGCGCGGCGTCTCTTAGGGGGGTGCACAGCAGGACTCGCTCCTCGCGCTCCCACCCCCTGGGCGTCCCCTCGACGTTCGACAGGTCGTAGTAGCGGACGGTCTCGAGCTGGAAGTCGTCTGAGGCGGCGAAGAGGCCGAGCGAGGCTGCTCCCAGCACCGACGGGCGCCATGAAGGGAAGAGGAAGAGCAGCAGGCCGATCGAGAGCAGGCCGCCGACGACGAGACGCTGCAGCAGGGCCCGGCGGCGGCGAAGAGCAGGCTGAGAGCGAGGTTGGAATCTTTGCCAGTCAGCTATCTTCTTCATCTCTCCGTCTTCGTCTTCATCTCTTCATCTCTCCGTCTATTCAGTGATATGTTCGTGGTATCCTACCTATGGGGGGAGATGGAAAATGTACCGCTCTCCCGCTTGGGGGCAGCGGTATAGCCATTGGAAAAGGCCGAATGCCTGTTCATGTCGCCGCGAGCAGCATCAGCAGCGGCAGCGGCCTTGATCTAGAGACTCGAGCAGTCGAAGCAGAAGAGACAGCGGGAGAAGAGAAATAGAAGTAGAGAAGAGAAGCAGAGAAGAAGAAGAGAAGATGGTGAAAAAGGACAAGGGGCCAAAGGGGCGAAAAAGAGACGAAGATCGCAAAAGGAGTCAGCAAGCCGCAGCCCTCAGAAGTGCCAGCAGCGGCCAATACAAGGCGCTTTAACGTCCAATATTTGGCCAGACAAGCGAGTGAGACAGATAGACGGCGTCTTCGTCTCTTCTTCTGCTCGTCGGTCGGCTTTTTACTGGTTTTTTCGCTTTCTTCAGCTTGTTTCAGGGATCATCTTTCTTCCGCCTGCAGGTCTTGCTCAAGTACCGCCGATGTAGACAGATGTATAGACAGTTGTACGGAGTAGTCTATGGCCTATATCTACATGTGTTCCTACTGCTAGAGAGTGCCTCGTTGTACGGAGTGGCTTGTGGTAGATATAAGTTGATTCAGTATCTGCTGCTGCAGTGTTATGCTGGATATGAAGCAAAAAGACACCGTGGCCGGCGATCTTCATGCCTCTGCCAGGATGGAGATCAACAGAGAATACGAGTGGGAAAAAGGCAGACGGCGGGTAGCCGGTGGTACGTAGTGCTCCCATGAAAAGTCGTGTAAGATATTATAGCGGTGATGGTTGCTATCCTGATGCCGCAGTTGATATACGGAGTATAGGATACAAGATACCCCTGAATGGCTACCCCTGAGATACTTGGAGATACCGAAGAGTTTCTTTCTATTCCCTATCATGTATCATGTATCATGCTACAACTGAGTAACTACCTGACAGTAGCTCCAGCAAGGCTCTTGACGGTACAGACTCCACCAGACTTGACCATCAGCCTGCCCATGGCCGGCTTCGAGCCAGCAGCCTCGCTCACCTGAGGCACCGCCGCGCTCTCAAACACCACCTCCAGCCCGTCCGTCGTCGTGAAGCCTGGCTGGAAGGTCTCCCACATCTTCTTCTTCGGGTTCAGCTGCTTCTCTGGCTCCGCTTCGTCCCAGCCGTCAAAGTACACTCGCTCACCTGCCTCCGCGCCCTCGGGCGGGTTGACCAGCTCGACGGGGCCGGCATGCGAGTCGTCGTTGCGCGGTGAAGCTGCCAGCACCATGGCCGCAGACTTGATTCCTCGCATCGTCACCGGCTTCAGGTTGCAGACCGTCACCACTTTGCGGCCCTGCATCTCCTCCAGGGGAACCAGACCGTTTAGGCCAGAGCAGACGGTTCGGACAGTCAGTCCCGTTTCTTCGTCGAGCTGCGTGTTGTCGCTACCGGGAGCGTCTCCGCAGGCTATCGTCGAGACATAAAGCGAGTCTGCGTTGGGGTGGTTGATGGCTCGTAGAATATGGCCGACACGCAGGTCGATGACGCAGGGCGACATGGGTGCTGCCGGCGCGGGAGCGGGCTTCTGTCGAGGCTGCTTCTCCTTCTTTTCCTTCTTTGCCTTCTTCTCCCCTGCTGCTTCACCTCCAGCAGCGCCAGCTTCACCCTTATTAGTAGCAGCATCTTCCGGCTTCCCCTTTCCAACCACAACGGTAGCCTCAGCCTTCTTCTTAGCCTTCTTGTCGTCCTTGGGCACCACAATCACACTATCCAGGTCAATAGCAACCTTCTCCTCGGCCGGTATCTCCAGCCCAAACAGCTCTGCGTTCTGCACAAAGTCCACATGCCGCACAATATGATGGTACCCGTCCTCCCCCGTCCGCTGCTCAGCAGTCCACTTCTCCACCACGGGAGCCAGAGCAGCATACAGCGCCACGTCCAGCACAGACGGCTTCACGCCCAGCATTGTAGTCCGCATAGCCAGATGCGCGTTCAGCTTCTTCAGCTGCTCTCCCAGCCCCAGTTTCTCAGCATCTGCGCCCTCCTTCAGGCTGTCTGACAGTTTCCTGACCTCGCACAGCCATGACTCGATCTCTGCTCGCTCGGCGTCAGAGTACAGCACCGTGGGGAAGATGAGCGGCGTGAGGGTGTGCAGGTTGACCTCCGTGGCCTGCAGCGGGACGGCCTGCGGGTATGAGCGGTGCAGCAGCGAGAGCAGCGAGGCCGTCGGTGTCGATGCCGTCGCCATGCTGGCTGTCCTGTTCGCCTGGCTTCCTAGAATGCCTCTTGGACTGCTTCTCCTCGCTGCCGGTGCGGGCGAAGCTGCTCGGGTGACTGCTGTGACTGTTGCTGAGAGCGCTCGTCGCGGGGTTGAGGCCCGGAGAAGCGACGGGATCAGGCCTGGGGGCGGCAGCTTGACGGATGGCACTCTCAGACCGAGTGCACTACAGAGACAATCAGTCTTCGTCTCTTCTCCTCTTCTTCGTCTATTTTTCTTGTCTTTAATTCGCTTCGTCTGTTCAATTCGTTGTTTTTTTCGTCTTTTTTCGTCTTTTTTCGTCTTTTTTCCTGTTGATTTTTAGAAAACTTTTTGTGGTCGAGGGGTTGCTTAGTAAGCGGGAAGATACAGAGTAAGGGATAGACATTGATATAGAAGTAGAAGTAGATATTGATATTGATAGAAGTAGAATAGAAGTAGAATAGAAGTAGATGGGTTGATTAGAATTATGTACGGTCGTGACGCAGTCAATATGATACATGACTGAACTAGCTACAAGAAGAAAAAGAGTCCGTCTATCATCAAGGAGAAAAATGGGCAAGAATAACATCACGCATGCGGAGCGAGAGAGATGGAAGGACCTCGCTGGTCGAAGACGACGAACAGAGCCTTGAAGAAGACGTCTCCCAGAATCTGGATGCCGCCGGCGTTGTTGGACTGCAGGCCTCCATAGCATGCTACTCCCAGTTAGTAAGTAGACAACATACGTAAGACACAAAAGAAAAGGGGGGATCATACTTTCAACGCCGTCAGGACCAGGGCCGTAGCTCTGGAAGGTGAGCAGCGAGCTCGGGATAATAGCCATATGGTCTGTTCCCACTGCAAGAAAAAGAGAGGGCATGGGCGAGTTGCATGGATACACCCATCCAGCAAACCGAGTGGGATCGTACCGCGCCCCGGGAACCTGGGCATAGTACGCCTTGACAATCTTCTCGTCAAGGACAAGCAGCGTGGTACCCGTATCCAGGATCGCGGTGCCAGTCCCGTTCTGAATCGTCTGGATCTTATCCAGTTTTCCCACAGAGTACAAGCTGCACGGGATCTCCCAGAAGCCATTCTCGTTGATGACGGGCACCTTGATCAGATCGCCGTGATACTTGGACTTGTCGATGGCGCCGAACTCGTAGGAGCCCATCTTGCCGTGTCTGAGCTGGGCGGTGAACACAGGCTCGTCCAGGTCCTCGGCCAGGTTCTCGAAGAAGGTCTTCTGCTTGACGGGGCGGATGGTGTTGAGCTTGGTCATGGCCAGACCGACGAGGCCGTCGGACGTCTTGTCCTCTGCGAGTGAGGCTGCAACTTTGCTGGGCAGCCCAATAGCTTGATTGCGGACTGTGGCGCCGCCAATGTCCATCACATCCGAGTAGACCGGGCCCGAAGCGTGGGTTTTGTCGCCGTATTTGATGTCAAAGTTCTGGTCGACCAGCTTGGATGCTGTCTTGGACTTGGACGGATCATACAGGTGGTGGTCCTTCTTTGCCTCTTCATCGGTCATTTGCGTGTTCATCACCCATCTAGATTTGCTGTTTAGTGATATGTCGGATGTGATATTGATATGATGCATCAGAAAAGAAGCACTTACGTGTCTGACGAGCCAGTATCAAAGTTCATGATAAATGGCTGTCCTCCAATGGTCACTGGGGAGAGAAACTGGATATCATGGTCCGTAGGATTGTTCACGACCTCGCCCTTCTCATCTTGACTCTCGACGCCCTCCTTGCCGCTGCCTGCAGTAGCCTTCGAGTTGCCAGGGAGTTTGCTGATGGGCTGTGGATGGTAGCCCTCCATCTCATGCGTCGTTGGGATGCCATACTTGGCATATGCTCTCTGCAGGTCTGTTGGTCCATCGCGATAGTACTCTGTTTCTCCCCGTCGCGCAAGATGTACCTTGAAGCTGCTGGTCTTCTTTCGAGGTGTAGGCTTGCTGAGTGCGAGAGGCAGCAGGACAGCTACCAGGAGGGTTGATACATGCATCTTCATAGCTTTTTTTTGGTAGCAAAGGGAACTGGAAAAAAGAGACAGAGAGAGAGAAATGGCCAGAAAAAGAGAAGCAAAGAGAGATGCAGAAGTAAAGAAAAGGAAGAACTTTTTAACTGTCTGGCACAGTGAATAGAAGAAAACAAAAAGGTGTATGAATCAAAGAGGTCAACTATTGATGTCTATGAGGACAATAACAGAGAGATAGCCCGCTGCGGCCGGGCAACCACCAGGTGAAGGAAGTCCTAGGCCTGGCACCAGTCTATTCAAGATAGACGGAGGTATGTACTTTTTTTGATGGGCCGGCCAGAAAGAAGGACAAAAAGACAAAGATGGTAAATCCACTGCTCAGCAGTGATGCATTGATATAGAACAGAAACAAAAAAGGGAACAAGCGAGAGAAAGGAGAGAGTGAAAGAGAGAGAAAGCGAGGGAGAGGGTTAAAGACAGTCACAGACAGGCAGGAGATGTAACCAGAACCAGGTCCATCCCTGAGCGGCCATATCTGTATCTTTTATAAAACTCTCCGCAGAGAGGAAAAGAAAAGAAAAGAAAAGAACAAGCGCATAAACTCGACTGTGATCCAGGTGTCAAACAGCCTTAAGCTTAGTCTGCCCCTTTCCTGCCTTGGGAGCCCAGGCAGCAAAGAGGACAAGCTGCAGACAGAATGCAGATGCAGGCAAAAAGACGCAAGGGCAAAAAAAAAAAGCGCCCTTCTCCTGGTCCGAAAAGTCTGACTGACTGCCGAAGTCCCACAGGGCGGCATGCTGGCGAGAGTAAGGTGTCGGCTCTTCCGTCGCCCATTGGGTCTTGTGCGAGGCCTGGGGCGCCAGAGCCAGGTCGCAAGCGAGAGGTATGAAACGCTGAGGAGTGGATGAGAGACAGCCAACACCGCAGGAAGTCAATCAAAGAGGAAAGAGAAAGACGAACAGCCGCCGGCCAAGGGCGAGAGGTGAAACCAGCCCAGGAGGCGAGTGTCGATAGGCCTGGAACTTGGCGCGGAGAAGGGCGCTGATTCGGCAGATGGAAATCAGTGAAACGCACCCTTGATTGGGAGAGGAGGATGTTTCTTTTTTTATCAGCCAGCTAGTCGACTAGTCAAGACTAGTGAATTGCTTGGTTGCGGTTTATGTTGTGTGAGTCTGTTGACTCTGGTAGTCTGCAGCGGGAGATGTTCAATGGCTGCGGTGGACGGGAGATATTCGTTCGACCCCTTGCAGCCCTGGCTTGTCCGGCGGCTAGACGTAGATATAAATAGTCGAGCAGTCGAGAATCGTGGTCGATAAGACGGACGGTAAGAGTAGTAATAAAAAAAGCTGCTGAAGAATCCGTGTGCAGGGCTGACAGGGCCTTGGATACGTGATTATGGGTTTGGTGATTGGGGAGGGTTACTCAGAGCACATCTTGGTCGCCCAGGAGCCTGCCAACCTGTCTGACAACCGACTTCAAGGCCAGCGTCGCGGGGCTGTCCGGAAAGCTGTCAATGAAGCTCTCACCAAAGTCGCAGGCCATGCCTACTCGCGGGTCGAGCGGTATCGAGCCCAGGAACTCGATGTCCAGGTCTGCCGCCAGCTGTCTGCCTCCGCCGGTGGTCGCCTTGAAGATGTCAGACTGGTGCTTGCAGCTTGGACAGACGAAGCCTGACATGTTCTCTACCAATCCGAGGATGCGTATACCAGCCTTGCGACAAAAGTCGACTTCCTTGCGCACATCAAGCAGTGACACCTCCTGCGGCGTGGTGACCAACACTGCTCCGTCAACCCCAGACTCCTTCAGCAGCGAATTAACAGAAAGGTGCTCGTCCGAGGTTCCCGGCGGGGTGTCGACAATCAGATAGTCCATCTCCCCCCATTCGACGTCCTTGAGGAACTGCTTGATGAGTCCGTTCTTCTTGGGACCGCGCCAGATGACGGCGTCGTCGCGGTTGGGCAGCATGGACTGGATGCTCATGACGGCCAAGTTGTCCGACACCCAGACCGGGTTCCAGCCGTCAGCGCTGACGTGGATTGTCTCTGCCTCGACATCCATCATCTTGGGGATGGAGGGCCCGCAGATGTCGGCGTCCATGATGCCCACAGTCGACTGCGGGTTCGAGGCGAATGCGTGTGCCAGCAGGGTCGAAAAGGTCGACTTGCCCACTCCTCCCTTGCCCGAGAGCACGAGGATCTTGTGTCTAATCGACGCCAGGCGTGCAGTGATGAGCGGGATGTCCGGGTCGGGCCCCTTGGGGGCGGAAGCACATATCGCCTGGTTCGGACACCCTGCGCAGGCGTCTCCCTTTCCGGCCTGTGACGACGTTGGTCCCGGGCAGTGTTCTATCCAGTTAGTCACCTTCTCCTTGCCTATATAACTATGCAAGAGTGTCCAGATGATCAGCCTACCTGGCTCCGGCGCAACAAGATCTGGGGCCTCCGCCATCTTTTCTTTCCCGCCCTCTTTTCTTCCTGTTCCCCGAGTTCCCTCACTTAATCCCCCGTCGTCTGCTTGGCTTCTTCCTTATCCCGCGTAATACCAAGTCAGAGCTGCTGCTGCTGTCCGACTTTTTCAACGTCCTTGTCTGTCTCTCTGTGTCTCTTGTCTGTCTGTCTTTTAAGCTGATAAAAAAAAGCATCTGAAAGATTGATAATCAAAATCCCTTATCGTGTATGGTAACGTATTGTAAGATCTTCCGTAGCATGTGATTATCCACGCCGCTTTCTGCCTGTAACTTTGGTATTAGCCGTTACCCCCACTATACTCCGTACATCAACAAACGACATCCGCCGCCGCAGCAAAAGACGAGCAAAAGACGAGCGAGAAGACAGCGAAAAGTGACGAAAACAAGAGACAGCGGGGGAAAGAAAAGCTGCTGGGCGTGCAGAGGGAGACCGTGTAGATGGCATACGTGAGATTAAACTCGCCCGATCGTCTCTGGGGTCGATCCCGGCGGGCTACCAAGTATCCCTTTGTACCGAGTACTTCCTTACTTCTACCTCCCGCGGCCGCTGGCTATTCAG